TGACTAACTTCAGTGGGAGAACCGCTGAAAATCTGGGAACACTGGACATTTGTTTTGTCTCACTACCACGCGCCCCCACGTCGCGAGGGATCGAACCCAGGGCTTTCATTTTATGCAGTACATAAATCACATCATAAAATGATTTATTCATTCCTCTCTGCAAACTGAAGCTTTGTCAGCGAAAACTTAGTGAAATAGATCCTATCTCCGTAACCAGAAACAATTTTTTTATTATTTCCTTTCCATTTACAATTTTGCTTTGAAATAACCTGATTTATGAACATACATGTTGACAATTGGACAATGAACAACCTTCAATACTCAGTATCTCAGAAGATAGCGCAGGCTGCGAAATAACAGATGGTGACTCGCAATGTCAAGTTATGTAGAACATACAAGGATATCTGGGTACATTACAGCTGATGAGTTTGGCTCGAAACCAGCGAAACAATCGTCAGGTGTTTAGGTCACTCCTGCCTGGCTAGTTGGCGAAATCAGCCGATCAATTTGACCGATTTCTAAGTACTCATTTTGGAACTCAGTTGTCTATTTCGATACCTACATACATTTACAATGGCTTTAGCTATTTTCAGGCCTCTTGAGAAGGACATTCCTTACTGACTTGCTCCCTCAACCAATCTGATATTAACATGTAGGCTCATGTCGTGGATTCCTCTGCTTGCCATAACCAAGTCAAGTATAACAATAAATATTCAGGGAATATAAGGGTATCCGCGTAAGTGCCCATATACCAACTGGGGTGCAGATACATCAGCTGACGAGCAAGTCCCAAATAGAACGAAATGCGCGTGTCATGGATTCTAGTACTAGCCATAACCAATCCAGTTATAAAGGCACAAGTAAACCTTAGTGACATATAACCTTAAGGATGACCAATAGGGTTGAAGACACTGAGGTGAAAGTCATTCATTACGTCCGTCTACAACGCTTAGTATACTTCCCAAGAATGACAACGAAGATTAAGTTGCCGGTTACTTACAGAGAACTGGAGTGCTTATGAATATGGTGTTGAAATGGATTGTGTATCTAACAGTGGTTTTATATTTCGTCGTGCTACCTGCTACAAGAAGAAATCCATGAGAACAGGATCATTTTATAAAGGACTGCACCTAAACACCTGTACTATCAGCTAGATCTTTGACAGATGTCAATAAAGTTTCTTCAGTACAGTGGTATCACCACTGCCAAGACATTAGATCTCAAATAATTTGTAAGTTGGATATGAAGTTTGGTGGAGTAGGCAATGTGATGGAAGTAGATGAATGTCTTGTTCGGAAACGTAACTATATTCGAGAAAGACGACTCAAACAGGACTGGATTAGTTACTTAGACATATGCTGATAAATCACAGATTCTCGGTATATACCACAGAAATACCAAGAAAAGACACTTTCAGTGAATAAATCATAGATCAGAAGATTCTATCCTACCAGTTATAGAAAAATGGATGGCATCTGGTACAACAATATACACTGACGCTTGGAAGTCACACATGCCATTATCTAGTATGAGTTTCTCTCATCAAGTTATTGTTCATAAGAAGCAGTCCCTTGATCATACAGCTGAAGAGCACACAAACAATTCTGAAGACATGTGGCGTAGTCTCAAAGGTTTTTAAGGCCCTTGACAGGATCACAAGGGGATATGTTGTGGTCTAATATGGATGAGTGGCAATATAGGCATTGGCATGGTTTCAAAGATGATAAACCTGTTGAAAATCTACATATTTTTATTTCATCTATAAATTGTAAATAAAGTACCATTTGCCCTAATAACTACTTTGTCCTTCATACTCTCGACTCTGATTGGCCAGTCTATACTTGAACGTGAGTCGCAGTTATTAAACTTTAATTGAACCGTTTTACCGTCGGCATGGCAAATGATGAAATTAACCATTACTCCTCTTAATTTTGTGACAAACTGATTGGTTATTTCAGTAGTTGCTAAGATGGTCATCAGAATTATTCTTAATCATGAACTAATATCGGTTTTCTAAGTGTAATATGGAGATTGTTAGATCTCCAGTCCGTGATACGCAAAACCTCAAAAGTGATAAATAATAATACTGAGGTTTATTAACAATGTGGTACTGTATAAGTGAGAATTATTACAAGAATAAGAACAATCAGTGCCTTCGACTGTGGTACTTTCATGGTGGGAAAATCAACACGGAGAACCAACAAGATCCAATTGAATAATTCACAAATAACGTGCAAAGTTGGGAGTTCTCTTTTCAAACAGATAAACTAGTCACATGACTAAGACCAGTCTATGTAAAAAGTCAATTAAAGAGAAAAAAGCAGCCAATCAGAATGGTCACAGTTGTATTGGGCAGATAGGCGTAAGAAGAAAGTGACTACTGAGCAGAAGCGAGTGGGTGGGTAGAGCTGGTAGGGGATGCGAAGATAGGATATGATATTCAGCAGGTAATATTCAACAGGGAATAATATCTGTTAGGGAATATTTGAAAACCTGAGAGCACTGTATAACTGTTTCGTTCAAGTCTAGGATTCTTCAGAAGTACTTTCTAAAAAGCCAATGAAGGAAGGAGCATGAGGTCACTAGGTAACACAGCGAGATAGATTGTGAATGTATGTTTGAGTTCAGAGGTTTTGAAAGTATCCTCTGTGTGTGTGCCAGACAGAGGGAGAGAGGTGTTTTACAAATAATACACATGTGCTACATAATTAACTCAGCTATAGGACCGATGAACATCACAGAATAATTAGTGGCTTTTTCGCCAGATAACAGGTTAGTTTTCAAGTAGATTTTAACAATTTACCAGTGTAAAATCAAATTGTATTGCTGTTCTATGCTTCATTTTCACTAAAAATGTTGTTCAAGTTGGTATGAAAAATATGTTCCCCTGAAATGACACTGTTTGTGTGCCATAACAATATGTGTTGCTACCTATGTTATCTCGTCGTTGGTTGGACCGAAATGAAGTATTTGAAGTGACTGATCCCGGTTTCGAGTCATAGGGGGAACAACATCACTATTCACTGGGAGGCAGATATATCCAGCTGAAGAGTAATGAATAGGACGAAAATGTACCGCCTGGATTCAGTGGCTACCCGCCATCCATCATCAATACAGCAAAACATGATTTCACAGAAAACAAGTCCACAACGATTGGTCACTGGAGGGTGACGAATTTCATATTATCTAGTCCTGTGTGCTGACCGGTTCTTATCGATCATTTTTGTATTGCTACCGGTCACCAAGACTCACTATCCTTACGCACTTTGAAGGATGTCAGGGTTGAGAGGGAATTCCAAGCCTCCACTGTTACCATATAAAGAAGGCAACTCAGAGACATCAGGTAAGAATTTCAATAAGCCTGGATGTAATGTGTCGTTGAAATCAATAAACTCATTTAGAAATCAGCTTCGTAGGTTGGAAGATCCTGTTGGCGCAATTAGCTTTACCAAATCCCTTGAAATGATTTCGAGGTTAAATGCATAGGTCAAAGCAGTCGACCAGGGTCGATTAGAATAACAGAGCACAAACACTTAGCCAAATCAAGATCAGTAGATCCTCATAAGAAATCTAGAGAAAAACTCGGCTATAGCTCTGCATGCGATGACACACAATCACGCAATAGGGGGTGGGGGGGGATACAGTGACAGCATTAGAGGCTAACTTAGTTGGGTGGAGGGAGGGAGAGATTGATAACCGACTGAATCAACACGAAATACATGCAGGAATAGGAATAATTCTGCACCTGTCCCAGATGTATGAAAGACTGTACTGTCATTATCACAAAGAAGGAGACGAGATCATTGCAGCTATATAAACTATGTGTCAACGTTGTGGAGTTACATGATATGAATATGGACAATAAAGTATGTCCAAAACGTTATCCAATAAATGATGGTGTTTCATAGACTACAATGGAATTACAATCTACCATAGTGCTCAAGTTTTACTCCTATGCTAATAAATCGTAGCTCAATTGGTAGAGCACCGGATCAGTAACTCTGTGGCCGCTGGTTCGAATCCGGCCGTGATCCAAATTTTCATTCCACCTTCAATCATCACTCAGTGTAAACACTAGTCTGCCAAACTACGGGTATCTCAGATAGTCGAATGATAATCCATATGATGTACTCCCTCTCTGATTCAGTTAGATTTGGATTAGGATGAAAAGTCCTAACTAGGCAGGCAGTGTAAACATGATCAAGCGGTAGTAACGTCTCATAAATTCATATAGTAGCCGGGCAAAATACTTGGTGATTGAAGTGAGGTAAAAATCTGGTCAGCAGTCGGACCTCGTAGCTCAGTTGGTAGAGTATCGGGCCGGTAACCTGGTGGTCACTGGTTCGAATCCGGCCGCGGTTCAGATTTCCATCTCACCTCCAATCATCACCCAGTACAAATACTAGTCTGCCAAACTACGAATATCTCAGATATTCAAATGATAAATTATAAATGTCCTTCTGATGTGTCTAATGGTTATATAGTTGTTTAATTTGTTGATTGCTCGGCCTAGTTTATATGACAAGAAAAAGAAATTCAATTTGGAGGTTTGTGAGGATTTATATATTTCAGGTCATTATTCATCAGCACTCATCAGCACTCTTCAACTGTGAGCACTCATGGCCCTGTCAGGGATCAACCTAGTAGATCAGTGCCAACGCCACGACACCCTAAGGTCCTAGGTTCTACCTCCGAGGGTGGGATCGTGGATGCAGACTACTGAGGAGTCCCTTACTAGTGGGACGAAACAGCTATTTGTCAAGTGCTCCCAGGTTTTTACTAGTTCTCCAACTGATGTCGGACAGTCAGTGCATAATGAACACCAATCTGGAATCAAAGAAACTTGTCATGATGGTTTTTTGCTCAGACTCTTTAATCATTAACTGCCCCAGGAAAAACAGAAACAATTTCTTCACTTGAAATAAACATCAAATGCAAAGATTCAACAGCTCAATGTTCAATATGAGCAAATATATGTATGTATATAGAATTTTACTTACCGAGTATACAACAACCGACCATTCTGGAAAAGTTTTGTCTTTTGTATATGTTTAATTCCTCAAAACAGTTTTCTTTTTATTCATGTCCTTTGTTAGTTGATTAAAATTTGAGAAGTGAATAGTTTCAAGACTGAAAATAGTGACAATTGAATAATGAATATATATATATTTGCGCCTGTTCACTTTTTCACTCACTCTATACAAAACACACAATCAAATCAATAAGACAAATTTGTGAAGACACTGTACATGTTACTCGACTCGATTACATTTTTTTATTTATTTTCCAGAGAGAAAAAAAATAAGCAAACACAAACACTGAGACATAGTTTACGTACACCACTGCCCCTAAGGAAGTCTGCATGTATATGTTCATTGTTCAATGAATTTATGCAGCTGTGTAAATGTGTGTATGTATCTAGGTAAGTTTGTATTGTGCAATGCGGATGTATTAAAGTGATTGTGCGCAGTAATTCGTCATCTGTTAGGTGTTGAACACTATTTACCTCCCAATGAACATCTAGTTTAGAGAGGGATAACACACACACACACACACACAATTGCACAAGTATTGGAATAAAAAAAACCCTGCTGGTCCTTCATTTCAACACACATAAACACACTCATGTGTACACTTGCGTACCTGTGCGCATTACGAGACAAGTGTAACTAAACAAAAAGAGACAATAGATAGAAAATTCTTCAGACCTCACTGTTGTACATCATCTAGAGTGTAATTGGAAATCTAGGACAGACAATTGATGAAGTTTGGTTCGGGATGAAACCAATCCTTTTGATTTGAAATATATTATTAATATAGGAGTAAAACTTGAGCACTATGTTAGAGTGTAATTCCACTTTAGTCTATTTATAATAAATATCACACAGTGAAACAGTACCATTTCTGGATGACGTTTCGGACATAATGTATTATCCCTAGGTGCGCCAAAATGGTTTAATTTAATGCCGAAAACTAATAATCCCAGTAGAATGTATGGTACTATTAAGATTCACAAGCCAGGTTATCCCATCATGCATATAGTAGGATTTAGAAACACTCCGACTTTGTCTAAATATTTAGCAATGGTGTTAGCTCCAATAAGAAATCACGCAAAGTCTCGACTTACCAACTCTCATGACTCAAAGTGTAGATTAGACGACATACACTTAGACGACAGTGAAAAAAATGGTTAGTTTTGACATAACTAGCCTTTACACAAATATAACGATTGACATGGCTCTGGAGGCAGTTCGAAATGGGCTTAAAGATGAAAAAGAACTTATGCATCGAACTAAAGTGCCGATCGAGGAAATCATACTAGGAGTACAATTGTGCCTAACATCTACAATTTTTAAGTTTCAAAATAAAATACATAAACAAACTGAAGGCGTTGCCATGGGATCACCGATATCCCCTATCGTCGCAGACATATTTATGGATAGTTGGGAACAGATGACCCTTCGAACATTTAGTCGTACTCCAAAGATATGGTTCCGATATGTAGATGATACGTTTACAGTACTGAAATCGTAACACATCAATAGGTTCTTGGCACATATAAATTCAGAAGGTGAGGTAGGAATGTTGGATTGCAAGATTAAACGGAAACAAGGAAATCTGGAGACTGGCGTCTATAGGAAACCTACCCATTCGAATCGCTACTTAGACTTCGAATCCTCCCATACCGTTTCAGTTAAAGTAGGCCTAGTTAAATGCTTTAGTGATAGGAAATCTACGACAAGAAGTTAGACATATGAAGAATACCTTGAGTCCCAATAATTACCCACCAAAATTTATAAATAAATTCATAAGAAATCTAAAGAAAAATATTAGCATTGGCAGCAGTAGTAATACAGGCGTTATTAATAATAATCCCACTACTAGTGGTAATAATGGCGACAGGGTTAAGAGAGAATTCAAAGCCTCTGCTGTGTTACCATACAACGAAGGCACCTCAGAAGCACTACGAAGAATTCTCAATAAGGCTGGGATTAAAGTGGCATTCAAACCAACAAACTCACTTAGAAACAAGCTTTGTAGGTTAAAAGATCTTATCGATGCGATTGAGCAAAATAATCTGGTCTACCAGATTCCTTGCAATGATTGCGAGGTCAAGTACATAGGTCAAAGCAGTCGACCAGGGTCGATTAGAATAACAGAGCACAAAAACTTGGCTAAATCAAGATCAGTAGATCCTAATAAGATAAGAAATCTAGAGAGAAAGTCGGCTATATCTCTGCATGCGATGACACACAATCACGCAATAGGGTGGGGGGATACAGTGACAGTGTTGAAAACTAACTTAGTTGGGTGGAGGGAGGGAGAGATTGATAACCGACTGAATCAACACGAAATACATGCAGGAATAGGAATGATTCTGCACCTGTCCCAGATGTATGGAAGACTGTACTATCGTATAGCATTGCGTTCCTACCCTGTGTGTGAATGCTAACGTGCATACTATGAGACCCCATGGCCCTGGGTCCGATCCCCAACGGTGACGTGGATACACATACTAATTGAATGAAATATGAGTTGACTTTCTTATTCATAGAAGATAATCGTAACAGGGTGGAGATAAATATATTGAACAGAATCATACAGAAATGGCATCAATGTAAAGGAACTACGCATTACTCCGCTTCAAACTCATCCAGATAGAATATCGCTTATATAGATGCCTTAGTGTATCATCGGTTGACACGATGTGACATTGATCGGTTGATTTTCTGAGTTGAATTTTCAAATTAATTAGTCACTCGAGAGCAGCCAATTTCATATCATCTAGTCCTAAATGCTGATCGAATTCTATCGATCGTTTTCAGAGTGTGGCCAGTCAGCAAGGTAGAAGACTCATCATCGTGGTTTACTTTGGTGGGTGTTGATTAGTTGGGGGTAATCGGCTATCAGTTCTGATCCATCTACGTTTCAGCTGATTGGCAGTTGTCAGTAATACCTATCTGCAACCTCCAGAGGTAAGCGATATCTCCCGAGAAATTAGATTTCATGTCATACACAGTGGCAATCAGAGATTCTACCACTGAGCTATTCGCGTAAAGATTGACCTCCTACACCACAATGATGTAGAGACCAATCAATGTATCTAACCCACTCCTAAAAGAGGTCATTCATGGCACTGATGAGTATGAACAAGTCAAGTGTCCTCCTAATGACTGACAAACAACGAATATCTATGAGAGTTGAGTGAGCCTTTGACGTGAATCGGTCAGTAAATATTGATTCATAACCTTCTTGATGTCTAGTCTTTGATAAGTTAATGGTTGCGTTCCGTTCTGTGAAATTGTTTGTTCTTCTCCCTTAAAGATTTTCAGTCACAGGGGTGAGTGTAGGTTAGATTTATGCACCATACCGAGAATACGTTTAGCTTTGTATACCAAAAACACTAACAGATTGTCAGGGCATGAATTAAACGGGAGAATAGCGTTGCCGCTAAATTCTCATCAGCTTCGTCAGTTAGTGTACCGTTAAAAAGACAGGCCAACTTTGAGACGAATACATTTTTCAAATGGAATTTGAATAAGAGAGATGTTCAACAAAACAATGACTCATGCACAGATGAAGTTAAAGCGAGAACTACACTCGGACATGTTTCTTATGAATGAAAATTTCAAGTGTGATCAATCTTTTTGTTACATCTTAAGGACCATTGAATTGGCGTTGGTGAACAACATATGGTATTGTTTTTAGTGTTGTGTGTTCACTAGATGAGTTAAGATCGAATATTTTTACCGATTTCACCCCAACTATTCCGAGCTAAAACGGTTATTGTTCAGGTATCCGGAGATGAGGCTACCTAAGGCTACCCTAACCGTTGTGGCTTCTTCCATAGGAATAGTGGAAGTGATATATATGCAAGGTGTTGGGTGTCCTTTCATCTCGGATTGAACTTTGCTCGTCTACTGAAAAATGTGTAAAGACAATCTGAGTATAGCGTCTTCTTTATTTCCCTAGCTAGGGGTCATAATGATATATCACTTTCAGCGTTCGCCTTGAATTGTATACACAGAATCAAAGGCTTCTTCTCATGTGTCTTAAATTCACTTACGGGATTACTGTGAGTAGTGTTTACTTTGATGAACTATTCAACATATCCGCATTCATTTAAAATATCATAGATGGAAAGTAGTTTTTTCTCCATACACAGACTCCTTTCAATTAATCCATCCTACTCTAAACGCTAGGCACCTGCTTATATTACATTTTTACTTCATCGGTACGAAGTTGAGTAAGTGTGTATCCTGTGACTCAGTCATATCAATAGATCTGGATATTTCAAGGGATCAATATTCACTTTCATCAAAAATATGTCACTCAATGTAGAGATGTATGGAGATCCTATAGCCGCTCAATCAACTTCTCTGTACAAGAACACTATTGAAGATGAACTGGACATTCATTGTACACTATATTATTATTATTATTATTATTATTATTATTATTAGTTCCTTGGGTTCCTAATGGAGCATAGGGCTTCACTAGCACGTCTCCATTCCACTCTCTTCTCTGAAATCTTTTCAACCTGGCTCCACCATTGCCCACAAACTCTCATTCCTTCCTCGCACCATCTCCTCCATGTCACCCTCACCTCAGACGCCCAACTCGTCGCTTCCCATCGGGGTTCCACTCGAGCAACTGGCCTGATGCGTGATGTCCCCAGTCGACCCTTTCAGTGTATGCCCAATCCATCTCCACTTCCTTCCACTGCATATTTGTTCAGCGATAGCTTCTTGGTTGCTTCGTTCCCAGCCACAGTTCCTTGTTGCTTATTCTTCTTATTCTGGCCATCTGATCTTCAGTAACGAGCCAGTGTAGATGGCAGTTGTTGATGAATGTCTGTAGTTTATTGGAAATCCCTTTCGTAACGCGCCAAGTCTCTCAACCATACAGAAACACTGATTCGACATTGGTGTTGAAAATCCGGATGTTGTTCCGCATGCTGAGAGGAGTGCAGAAGATCTCCACACTGGTTTCAGGCTAATGAGCGCCTGTCTTGCTTTTCC